TCTTCAGTTCCTTTAAATGCTAACAGAGCCGATAAATATGTGCAAAGATAAGGCCAGGAAAACCCAATCATCTAATGTACTGGAGTTTTGCCCTTGAGACCTCTCTGTCTTGGCAGGTATCCCAAGTGAGACCCCTTTCTTGTGTCGCCCAGAGAACACCTCAGAGTTGTGTCTCCAGTCTTCTCAATGTACATTTAATTCCATGCTTTGTGTCTCCCCCCCCCCCAATTTATTTTTCCTTCATGAGAAATGTATAGCCCTAAGTAGTAAAAAAATGTAGGGCTGTCAAAGGCAGGCAGATAGAAAAATCCTTGTTTCACTTGCATCTGATTTGCTTAAAATAATTTTTTCATCGGTTATCTATTTGAGCTCAGTTTTCAGCAAATATCCGTCCTTTGCGACATACACCCTTTCCCTCCTGGCCGTGCCTTGTGATTCAGAATCAGAGACGCAGCCCACAAAGGAAGCAGTTCTGTGCTACCAAAATATTGAAGCTGTAACTGGCATTCAAAATAAAGTCCCACAGCCCTTTCCAGCAGTCAGCTCATTCCACAAAGATCCACTTTGGAGCACAACGAGCCACGAAGAGGAGGAACCTCAGGTTGAAACCAGAAAACAAGCCAACCGACCCCAAACACCCTGATTCTTACGTACAATGCCCAGTTGCCATCCACGGCAGCATCATAAAACGTATAATAAAAAGATGTTTGTGCTTCTGGAAGACAATGGCCCATGCTCCCAAACCATGTTTCCTTGCGCTGTAAACATGTGCCAACATTTTTTAGTCAGATATGCTCTTCATTGAAGGAATAAAAATCTATTTCTCTGGTGGGAATGTTTTCATGATCTGTCATTATGATCTGTGATCCCTTAGATCCTAACTATCTGCACATTATTTCACATCAATTACAGTTTATAAATTAACAAAAGTTGTATTTGCCTTACAAAAAAAAATCAATACATATTTATGAACATTTTTAAAAATTCCGATAGATTTTCACATACATATAACCTAAAGACACAATACAAAAATCAGTATAAGTTAGGCAATGCACCACATGAATGACCAAAAAGGGAACATTTTAAACCTTGGCGAAAGTGACACCATGTTATTTCTCATGACTAAAAAAAACAAAAACAAAAGCAAAAACACATTTGACGCAATTCTTTTCAAAAACGTATGCGGGATATATATATTTTTTCTTTCCTCAGCCGTATTCATTATTCCTTTTTTTTTTTTGCATCTCATAGCTATTCTTATTTATCTCTTTTCCCCATCTTGTTTTTACATTGAGGAAGGCTACAGTCAAATAATACTCAAGCAACTGATTTCCTCTCTTTGGACTGAAAAATTAAACAGATACTAAATTATGACAGTGAATTTAGAAAGGAGGACTCCAAGGGCTTGAAAGAACATGTCTGGGATAATCTGAGGCTTCTAAGAATATTGCAATCACATCGAAGCAATCACTGAAGCGTGCCGGGTAACTACCTCCTCAGCTAATATGCTTTTTTCTCCGTGATGACTAATCATGTTCTATTAAACAGCAGTAATGCTGGAAGAACTCAACTATAGATGTGTAATGAAGCCAGTATTCTCCCCGGACAGATTAGCTACAACTGATTTGACACATACCATCATAGGAGCTTCAAACCTGACAAACTCTGTGCTTGCTCCTGATTTATGCCGTCAAGCTCTTCGGAAAAGAGAATGAAATCCAAGTGGTTCAGTTTGGTAGAGGTGAAATGTACCGATGTGCTTAACTGTCAGTTATGAAAAGTTACAATTTCTGGTCTCTCTCTTTCTCTTCTCTTCCGCCTGCCGTTCCTGGCCAGTGACTCTCATGCAATGCTGGCCAGAGGCCCCCCGCCGGCAGACATCCCCGTCCAACAGGCCTCAGCCATGTGCTATAATTAGTGACTCCATGATGTCTCTTTGTCTTACCCTCCCCCTTTTTACAGTTTCATCAGTCAAGATCTTTTTATTAAAACAAATGGTTCCTGCAATCCTCTTTCCTCCTCCTGGTCTCTCTTTACAAGATCCCTGGCAATTTGTTTCCCCCTGGAGAAAGTGAGGGCTTGGAGAGGAAAGGAGAAGGCATATTTTATAGACTCACAGAACCTCAAGCTGTGAAGGTTATGCATAATCGGAGGGCTGTGGGGATGTTAGTGATGCCACAAAAAAAACGAGAGCACCAGATCCTTCAGATGATGGAGGGCATCCTGGCCGTGCTGCTGTTGTTCCTGTTAGTGTTCTTCCGGGACAAGTTCGGAGTGGCCATGAGGACAAAGCGCTCGTCCGGACAGCCGTACTGCAGGAGGATGTCCACGCACTCTTGGCTCGAGGCCTGCCTGGCGTAGGCCAGGGCTCCGTTTCCGTGGGCATCGCGGGCCATGACATCGACACCGTACTGCGGGAAAGAACACACAACGTAGCTAGCCGTGCCCCTCATTCGTGACCAGGAATACACAGAATACACTCGAGGGAAAAAGCGTCCTATGCAGAGCTGAGATGAAGCCGGGGAACATTACCCAAGCTCCTTACTCTGAGTTTTAACATTGGAGTGGCTCAATTACAGATCCATTTGCTGCATCCTAGGTCTCTTCAAAGTGTCCGGGGAGCCCCAGCACTGTCATCTCAAATGCCCCCAAAGGTCTAAGGCCTTTTGCAATCATTTCGGTGAACCATACTCATATACACTCACACAACCATTCACAACCATCCCATAACTCCCCTTAAGGTTCACATTGCAACTTAAACCACCAATGTCACCCAAATTCCAATTTCATACAGCATTTAAAGCAATAATAGCTCTCGAATAAAAACTATTTTTTAATCTGTTTGTCCTTGTTTTAATTGTCCTATATCTTCTACCCGAAGGCAGCAGTTCAAACAGGGAGTGTTCAGGGTGTGACAAATCCTGCAGAATGTTCTTTGCTTTTTTCAAACATCGAGAACTATACAATTCCTCCAGGAACGGGAGAGGGCAGCCAATAATCTTCTGGGCTGTGATGATAACTCTCTGGAGTGCTTTCCTATCCACAGCCGTACAACTGGCAAACCAGGCACAGATGCAGTATGTTAAAATGCTCTCTTTTGGATCAGGTTAGTAAGTGAAAAGTTTGTTTGGGGTTTGAGGCAGGCCCAGTTGCAATGCTCCCTCTAAGCTGTGGAGCAAAAATTCTACTTTGTGAGCTACTGGCATTAAAGCTGTGAGCGAGGGATTTGGCTGCTGCATAAATCAGTCTGCTCTGGAGCCCTCCTTCCTGAGCTAAGACAAAAATGCGTGAGGCTAAAAAACTGTGAGCCAGCTCACACTAACTCAGCTTAGAGGGAACATGGGCCAGTTGGCAGAGCCAAATTTCAGAATCATCCTCTTTTTTAAAACAAAAGATCCATAAACTAGCACGTCAGAGAGTGGCTACAACACAGTGACCATCAGTCTGAGGCAACGTGACCCAATCTGCAGAGTGGGGACTTACCCAAATCAAGAGCTGCACCAGCACGACGTTTCCTTTCCTGCAAGCCAAATGTAAGGACGACCGCCCATCCCCGTCTCCGCAGGTCTCGTTCACTTCTTCTCGTGACCCGTGGGCCAGAAGAAGGATGACCGTCCGCAGGTCCTCCTCCGCCGTTGCTCGTAGCAAGTGCTGCCCCAAGGAAAGCTCTAAGCACGGCAGTGGAGCAAGGAAGAGCTTCTGCTCATATTTTGCCCGGATCCAGTGCTCTTTTTCTTCCCTAGAGAAGCAAACACAGACATCGCTCAGGGCTGGTCCTTCTGCCGGTCCTTTAAAACACTAATTGGGCTGATATGTATCGTATGGGCTGGACCAGGAAGAGGACAGTTTTAACATTAGTATATTTATTTGTTTGTTTGCTTAATGCATATCCCGCCCTCCCCGCCAAGGCAGGCTCAGGCTCAGGGCGGCTTACACACACAAGGTAGGCTCAGGATACACACACACAAACACACACACACACTAAAATAGCGAGATATGTTAAAACTTAAAATCGAACCACAACATATAAATCATTAATACTAATAAACACAGATGTTCATAAACAATGGCGGCATTCTCTCAACATCCAGAAAGTCACTACCATCATAATCCAGGTTCCTGCCCAGCTGCTGATTATTAAATTGGTGCTGTTGTTGGGGTCAGGGCTACAGTGCTGGGAGGCGGCCCCTAATCGAAAGCCTGGAAGAGCTCCGTTTTACAGGCCCGGCAGAACTGTACAAGGTCCCGCAGGACCCTGATGTCATCTGGGGGCTCATTCCACCAGTTAGGGTGGAAGGCCTGGGAGGGCTAGAGGATTTTGGGACCCCGATTTTAAAGGAACGTTTTGCTTAATGGAGGCCATTACTCTCAGAATGCTACCTGAACCTGGGTAAAACGGGAGGCGAACAATGTTGCAGCAGAGGGAATGTACTGCTTTCCCACGACATTTGATGCACAAGTGGAGTAGACGTTACAACAACAGCATAGATTTATGATGCAAAGAGATGAGAACACGAACATGGGCCATGCACAGCTCATCAGAAACAGCCGTCTCTGCATACACGCTGCTGCAGCAGCTATAGTAAACATGTTTGCCGTTTTACAAAAGTGCTCCTACAAATTGTTCTCCCTGGTAACATGGCAAGATGAACGCATGTGACTGGATCATAACGTATAAACTTATGAAATAAAACAAAACACTATGCAATAATGCAGTTGGAATAGGGGTAAACAGCATCCAGATTTTACTGGGTGTACAGTTGTGAAGCAGTGGCCGATGACATGTGGCACAAAGAGACTCCCTCACGATGGTCTGCTCTGTGCATAGAATTTCCCATCTTACTGTACCAGTGGATATCCCGGTAGAGGGGGGAAAATCACACCTGAAGCTGCACTGATAGAGCTGCTGAAAGAAACGCACTCTCTTGACTGGTCATAGAGTCTTCTGATTCTTTTGAGAGAGCCGGTGTAGTATAGTGATTCGTATAGAAAACCTCACTCAGCCACGAAGTTCACTGGGTGACTTTGGGCCAGTCACTCTGTCTCAGCCTAACCTACCTCACAGGGTTGTTTTCAGGAGACAAAGAAGGAAGGGAGAGCTACACATGCTGCCTTGAACTTGGTGGAGGTATAGCGGGATAAAAATGTGACAGGTAGACTTCCGAAAGGGCATGTGGAATGGTATGGTATAACCCAATCTTGGAAGCTAAGCAGGAACTTGGATGGGGGATCACCAAGGAAGATTCTGAAGGCAATGGCAAACCTCCTCTGCTTCTCATATGCCTTAAAAGCCCCCGGCTGGGGTCGCCATGAGTCGGGTGTGAATTGACGGCACGTGTGTACATATACTTCTGAAAGTTACGTAGGAATTTTCATACTTCATTTTATTATAAACGACGAGACAGTAATGTGATCATTTCCCAACACAAAGATCTACTTCACGCTGCATTTAAAAGAGAGGGGAAAAGGACATTGTTCTCCCTTCAGAAGTGAATTCAGCTTAACTGAAAAAATATGATAGCAAAAGAAGGTAATTCGTTTTTTTTTTTAAAGTGGACATTTCATTTCTCTTTCATGGAACTGATGAACTAGTATAATGTCATGGTCTTCTCAATGAAAGTCAGTATTTCTATCCCCATTTCACACATTCCACTGAGAAGCCGAAAACATCCTATGTGAAGGGTTGTGAGCTAATAAATTATGTTATTTGAACTCTCTACATTCCTCATACGTTCCTCATCCAGCGCATGTGGTATAAAACAAAAACAAATTCATAGAATCATAGAGTTGGAAGGGACTTCCAAGGTCATCTAGTCCAACCCCCTGCACAATGCAGGGCATTCACAAATACCTCCCCCCTCACTCACCCAGTGACCCCTGCTCTACGCCCAGAAGAGGGCAAAAAACAAAAACCAACCCCAAAACAACCCAACAACCCACAACCCTCCAGGATCCCTGGACAAATTGGCCTGGAGAAAATTGCTTCCTGACCCCAAAGTACCAACCAGCATTTCCCTGGGTAGGGTTGCCAGCCTCCAGGTGGGGCCTGGGGATCTCCCACTTTTACAACTGATCCGCAGCTGATAGAGATCAGCTCCCCTGGAGAAAATGGCTGCTTTGAAAGATGGACTCTATGGCATTGCACCCTGCTGAGGCCCCTCCCCTCCCCAAACCCCGCCTTCTCCCTGATCCTCCCCCATAGTCTCCAGGTATTTTCCAGCCCAGACCTGGCAACCCTATCCTTGGGTGTGTAAGAAAGGGCCACGAGAACTAGAACTAGGTATACCTCCATGAATTCCAAAGTAAGGACATTAGGGTAATAAATAAATTCTCAGGCTTGTAATCAGGAGACCAACATAAATGAAACACTTCACAAGAGAAGAAATGACTAAAATTTACACACACACACACACACACACACACACACTTGTACACAGTAATGCTTAAGATTACATTTCACAAACTTCCATAAGAACCCTACCCCCCAAGGTACACTTGCAGGCAGTGCACTGACAGGGGTGAGTTCGCTTTGGAAGATGTCGTCCTTGGACAGTCAATAATTGTGGCAATGTCTTCAAACAGAGAGACACTTGCAAGGAAGTGTGGTAATGCTCAGGGCTTACTCCTTCAAGCACAAAAGGAAATGGTCTTTTGAGGTTTTTCAGCAATGCTTAACCTATTCCCAAGTAATGCAGTGTCAGGTTAACTTTAATCTGTTTTCAAATGCTTATGTAAACAGGTCCTTTACAAAGTAAATCTGGATTAGTTTTGCATCACTTCCTGGCGAGCGGGAGGGTGACCTTAGCATAACCTTTCTGGATACAATGGTTTGCTATACCATGCTCTTCTGCAAAACTTACTGTACATGAGGAAGAACGTGCATACTCAACAAAACAAGGTTGTTTTTTTTTTTAAATGCATATAATGAAAAAGATTGCCACAACTTTTTGGATAGTTTGGAAAACTTTGCTTTCAAAGAACTGAATGACACACTTTGGGGACGACTGCAGCATTCTGTTAGAGAAAAAGAAATGACATATTCGGAGATGTTCACCAGGATGTCTTAAAATCTGCCACTATCCAAGCAGGAAAAAAGTATATTGTATCTTCTCTATTAGGACTAATTAAAGGTATCAGTCATTGTTTCTTAAACATCTTAAATAGATCCCATGAAGATGGTGATTCTAAGCCTGTCTACTAAAAATCCTAGTTGGGTCGATTCAGAGGAGCTTTCTTTCAGGAAAGTTTTTTCAGGACTGCAGTCTTCAATATTTGAACACACACATGATCCACAAGGGAGTTATTTGAATGTGAAGGGGACAGAAACTGATGTAGAATGTACAAACAGAAAACGGAAAGCTGAGATGAAAGCAGACTGATACAGAAAGTTTCAAGATGGAAGGTTTAACCAAGGGGAGTTTTCCTCAAGGGTCAGCACTAGGACTGCCATCTCCAGGCTGGGAAATACCTGGAGATTTTTTTGGGGGGGTGGAACCTGAGGAGGGTGGGGCTTGAGAAGGGGGGGTATATGCCAAAGCAGCCATTTCCCTCCCCCAGGTGAACTGATCTCTGTCACCTGGAGATCAGTTGTAATCCCAGGGGATCTCCAGCCACCACCTGGAGGTTGGTAACCACAATCAGTACAAGGATCCATTTGACTCCATATTTTTTTGCAAACGGCGACGGCAGAAAGAGGAGTCGGTTACTAAACCTGCAAACACAAAAGAATGACATTTCCTTGCACAAAATGTTAGGGACCTGCAACCTCGGATTCAGACTGCGATCACACAGTCTGGATTTTACTGTGTGAACGGGCAAAATCCAGCTGGAAAGTGCACTGAACGTGGATTATTTAGTGAGTGTGATCGCAGGTGAAGACAGTGCATTTTTCCTACCTGCCGGAGGCTAAGCAGCTGGAAAAGAAAAGGGAGGGGAAGGAAGTAGCGAAGGACGACATTCTACGACAACATGCCGGAAAATAAGCAGCTGTGTCAGACTGGGAGCAGGAAGACCTGGGTTTGAATTCCTACTGAAACAGCTCCTGTGCAAGGTGAACTGTTTTTCTGCTCCTGTGTTTCACATGCAACACTCTAGAACCAGAACTGTTAACTGAAGTCCCCTCCTACACAAGGATGGGCCCCGTTAGGTTCACTTCGCTTCACTTCTGGAACTGTTAAGTCATTATTGTTTATTCTGTGTCCACAGCACCTTCACGGTTTCATGGGCAAAAACAGGTCCTGCCACCTACGAGCTTCCGGTCTAAAACAGACAGCGAGGAAACAAGAGATGGGGGAAGGCAGAATAAATGAACGTGGACAAATGCAGTGGCATAAGTTAGCTATTGTTATTACAAAGCACAATTTCATGGAGTGGTAGTGCTAGTTCACAGCAGTATGGCAGGGCACAAATCTACAATCTGAACATAGATAAAACAATTTCATGGAGTGGTAGTGCTAGTTCATAGTAGTATGGCAGGGCACAAAGCTACAATCTGAACATAGATAAACTGAAAGGTTTCAGTTTAATGAATATAATTTGTACGAGGGTGAGAAATAGTTCAACAGTAGATCAGATTTAAAGACAATACATTTACTGTGAGAGGAGTCAGTGGATTGGGATGCAACTCCATTTGTCAAATCGTGGTAGCACTTGCGACCGTAGGTTGGCTATGGATACAAGAGTTCGGCAAAAAACCAACGAAAGCATTCTGTGAGAATCAATTGGCTATATGGGATTTAC